CGATGTATTCAAGGATTAGTTTCGAGCTTTTGAAAAACACGCTTATTTGTCTGTTACATATAAAGAGTTGAATTCATAAGCAAAACAAATGCAGCCTTAGGCCAGACATGCACTTGCTTTTAACTACATGTGTATGTGCGCATGATGGCTGCCTCACATATCCTGTGTCTATTTTGAGCACTGGAACGTAAAGTGGTTAAAAAGCAAGTACATCTTTGGCTTTAATTGGTCTGCTATGACCAGTGGCCTGTGGCGGCAAATGAAAGCAACCTTTACATAGATATTGCAGTGCACTGACATTACTAAGTCACTTAGCTGATTTTGTGAAATAGGTTATAGCATTTAACCTCATCCCATCTCACTTATAGCATAAATTAAGCAAAACTACAGGGACAACAAATCCCGCCTATCAGCACTGCTAAAGCTTGTTTTTTATGTGACTTACACAACTATGGTATAATGTGAAAACTGAGAGCTTTAGAAATGCTGGTGGGCAGATTTTGTTACCTTTAAGCGGAGCAGGCTAGCTGTTTCCTGTCTTTAATGCTAAGCTAAGCTAATCTAATCACCTGACTATAGCATCACTGGCATACAGATATGAGAGTGGTATCTTCTCAGCAAGGAAGGGAATAAGCGTGTTTTCCCGAATGTCGGAACAGTTTCTTTAAGCCCAACATAGGTTAAAATAATGATCTAGATGGTTTGAAAAATAAAGGTCTAGTTTGATGAGTGTGTTTGTTCCACAGGTTGAAACATGAGAATTTGGTCGACATGGTTGGATTTTCGTGTGATGGACAGCACCCATGTTTGGTGTATGCCCTAATGGCCAATGGTTCTCTGCTAGACCGACTAGCTTGCTTGGTAAGCACCATCGACAGTACAGTAGTAGTAGTTGTGCATTTACACAAATAGTTGAATTGTAGGCTTTTTCTCCTTTTAGGATGGAAGTCCTTCACTGTCCTGGCAACAGAGATGCTTGATAGCTGAAGGGACAGCGAGCGGTTTGGAATATCTGCACAGCAACCATCATGTCCACAGAGATGTTAAAAGGTACACTTACTCCGTGTTCAGACTGCAGGCTAAAGTGGCCCAAATGTGATTTGTATTTTATCAAATGTGACTCGGATCAGATTTTTTCATGAAAGGTGTTAACGGCACAAATCACATGGAATCTGATCTTTTCAATTCACAGGTCTGAATTTTGCAATCTGACCTATGTGTCGTATCATGTTCATGTCACTTTATGACCAAGACCTGTGCACACTGGAATCTGATATGGGTCACATTTAATAAGTAATGTGAACAGCCAAACCAAAAAAAAACCATCATCAGTGGTTGCACGCTAAGGCTTGCTGTGTGAATGTAGCCAAAGTGAGATCTTTAAGCATTAACAATGCTCTTTAAATGATCTTTTCTTAAAGGAATAGTTCAACATTTTGTGAAATATACGTATTCACTCTCTATACTACTCTTAGACCCCATTGACACCTCGTCACTTACTGCATGTTTGGTGGATGAGATAGCTATCTAAATTTACAAAAAAAGTGTAAATGTATCCAAGCAACCAAGATGGATTTAAATCTGATTGCCACCTCAAACCACCTCTCAGATATGTTAAAACATGAAGCTGCAGCCAGTAGCTAGTTAGCTTAGCTAAGCGTAAAGACTAGAAACAGGTTTGGCATTGTTCGTTTTTCACTTTTACAGCTCTGCTTTTGGACAGATGAAACAAATATGATATAATTAGTGAGTAATTAGTTAATTAGTGAACTACAGAGCCTAGCTGCCCCCCCCCTCCCCATTTCCTAAGTTAACTGTTGTCATGAACCTGCTCACAGTTCATGACAAAGAAGGGAGACCACGCAGACAATTTAAGTGTTTAAGGCAAAAATAAATTTAATGAAACAATATTCACACTCAACAAAGTATACAAGATATATGTACATAAGTATTGTCAGTAGTGTAGTGAGTGTGAGAGGAGTGGTGTGTATGTGTGGTGTGTTGTGTGTGTGTGATGTGTAGTGTGTGGTGTGTGCTGACAGCAGAGCCGACCTGTGTGTGGGTGTTGTGTGTGTATGCAGTTGAAAGTCGACCCAAGCAGACAGCACACAAAGAGAGCTGATCCCTCTATATAGACGCCTAGTAAGTCAGGGATGGACCAAGGTTGTAGCCCATCTAAGTGGCCACACCCTGCAGGAAGACGAGTCTCAGACCCGCCAGGCCATGGGGATGCTCTCT